CCACCTCCTACCCCCAAACATCCCCGCCCCCCCCCACCCCCAAGGTCTCTGCTCAGCCCCACCCACCCCTCCCGCCTCGCCGCCTTACCGAGCTCTGGCGAGGTGGGCCGGGTCCGCCGCACTCGGCCCTGGCTGCGGGTCCCCCGGCGGTCCCAAGTCCCCCAGGGCCCATCTTCCTCGGGTCCTCGGCGTAGCCTCTTCTCTGCCTCAGGCCCCGCCCTGTTCTTCTCCAAGGTCTGGGGCAAAGCCGCGCCCTCTTGGCCCGGAGTGGCCCAGGGCAGGAAGCGCACGGCTTGCGCTGGGGGCTCCCGCTTCCGACCCGGGGGAGCTTTCGTCCTGGCCTCGGGGAGATCGGCGGCGGCCGGGGGCACCGGGCTCCGACACTCCTGGATGGCTCTGCCCCGGGTCAGCGGGAACTGGTCCCGCCGCCTAACCTCCTGCTGCGGGCCTTCCCCGGGCTCCGTCCTGCCCGCCGGACCGCGACTGCGGGGCCTCCCCGGCTCGTCCGCCGGCTTCCCCGCAGCGCTGGGAGGAGTTGGCTGGGTGGCGGCGGCGGGGCTCACGGCCCGCGGGGTCTTGGGGGTGGCGGGCCGGGAGAAGAGGGGGGGTTCGCCGGGCTCCCTCGGGGAAGGGGCGCGCTGCAGCGTGGCGCGCAGGGACTCGTGCGAGCGCACCAGCTCTTCCCGCGACGTGGAGCGCCGGATGCGGCCCAGCTCCAGCGCGAAGCGCAGCTCGAGGTCGGAGGCCGGGCTGCGCTGCCGCGTGCGCTCGTCCAGCGAGGCCGCCTTCTGCTGGAACAGGCGGCGCCGCTCGGCCACGCTGCCCGCCGGCGCCCGAAGCTCCTCCTGGGACGCCCCGGGCGTGCCCCACGGCGCCTCGCCGTCCGACTTGGGCTGCTCCAGCGAGCGGGCCTTGCGCAGCGGCACCCAGGGCCGCAGGGGCGCCGGCGGCGAGTCGCTGCGCTCCAGGCTGCGCCGTCGCTCCTCGAAAAACTGCAGTTTGTCCAGGATGCGGGAGCCGGCGCGCGCCAGCCGCGGGGAGCGGCCCAGCGCGGACAGGCGGCCCGAAGCCTCGCTCAGCGGCGTCTGGGGCCGGGACTCCGCGGGGCCCGCCAGCGAGGGCCCCGACGCCTTGGATTTTTTCCCTCGCTTCTCTTCCGCGGCGTTGTCCTCAGGCAGCGCGGGCTCCTGGGGGCGCCGGTGGGGCGAGGCGCTTGTGGCTGGAGGCTGGGCGCTGGGCCCCGGCGGGGGCCGCTTACCCACCCGAGGGGACGGTGGGGGCAGCAGCGCGGATTTGGAGGGAGGCGGTGGGGCCGGGCGACGCGGCGCTTCGCTGGCAGGCTGAGGCTGGAGGTCAGGTTCCTCCCTGCACAGTCCACTCGGAGGGACGCTGCTGCAGAACCAAGACGAAGAGGGGTAGCAGATTCAGGGGCTCTCCCCACCTCAACGCTCAGCTTGTGACAGGAACTGGGCGGTGGGGCATGCTGGGAAGGCTTGGGGGTGACATGGGCCAGCCCCTCCGCCCCCTCCCCATAGAGGAAGGTACAGCCAGAGCAGGTGCTGGGGAGAGGCTGGCGGCTGTGCTGGGTCCAGGTACAGATTCAGTTCCTGGGGCTCTGGCCAGCCCCCTCCCCCCAGACCCCCCCAGGAAGCTGGGGAATAGCAGAAACAACTAAGCGGTGGAAGAGAAAAGAATGAGGCTTAGGACCCAAAGGATGGAGTGGTGGAGGTAGGCAGAAGGGTTGGATAGGGAGGGGCCCTCTCAGGAATGCAGCCACCCCCTCATTCCTGCCCTCAGCTGGCCCCCACAGCCCTGCCCATCCTCAGCGGGACATAACCCCTTCAGAGTGGCCCCTAGAAGGCCAGGTGCAAAACTCTGGGGAGAACAGTGACCCTCTCCCTGGGAGTGCCTAGCACCTACTCAGACCTGAGCCCATCAGCAGTGCTGGCCACACAGCAGGGGCAGCTGAGGTCCCTGGAAGTGGGAACGAGAAGACCCAGGTGGTCCATTCCCTTTGATCAAATTACCCCCAGTATAGGCCTTTGACTTTGTCCTGCCCTTGGGAAAGTTACCTTGGAAGTCCTTGGAAACCCCCCAAGAAGCACAGAAGTTCCCCAAAGGGGTATGCTCAGAAATAACTCAGCTCAGAAATAACTACTGTGTGGGCCTGAATAGGGGGTGTGGGAGAAGAGGAGACGGGAAGGAGCTGGTCAGTTCAGAGTACCCCTCTCACCTACAGAGCTTTGATGCCAAGAGCTAGGCCTCAGTTTCCCTCTTGGGCTTTGGCAGGGGGTGGGCGAGGATACATCAAACATAAAGATTGGCAAGAAAAGGATTCTGAGGGGTTAGCACCATACCTGACACACTACAGAGCTCTATAAAAACCCAATGAGTATTTGGGTACCAGCCATGTACTGAATGCTTAAAAACATCATTTAATCCACACAGCAGTTCTCTGTGATATGAGCCATTATTAGGTACATTTATAGATGGGGAAACTGAGGCTTAAAGAGGTAAAGTCCTTCAAGGTGACATAGCTAGGTAGGTGCTAGGATTAAAAGCCAGGTAGCCTGACTCCTGAGCCCTTGTTTCCTCCAAAACAATTTCTGGGGACACAGAAGGAAGGAGAAATAGTAGGGCACTGGGCACAAGCAAACGTTTTGGGGTGCCTGAGTATAAGGATGTCGTCGACTAGTTGGGTCAATCACCCACACTGTAAACCCCACCTCTTACTGGAGACAGGGAGTCAGTGGGACCTTGGCCAGCTACGGGGAGGCAGAGTCTACTGGGGGGAGGGACAGTGTAGTCCCTGACCAAGAGCCTCCGGGGATTAGGTGAGGCCTGGAGAGAAACTGAGGACAGCAGACGAGGCCTCTGCCGGCAGATTCAAGCTCCAGGCCAGCCTCTGTATCACAAACATCACTAAGGAAGTGGGTTCCTCGAAGTTGCCATAGCAACTCCAGGCTCTGGCTGGGGCCTGGCAAAGATAGGCCAGGAAGGAAAGGGAAAGGCAAGTCCAGGGCACAGGAGAGCCTGCTTAATGCCAACTAGATAAAGCAAGGGAGCCCTGGGCCTGCCCCTGCCCACCACTAGCCGTTGCAGCCACCCTCAAAGCGGCCCACCCCACTGGGCCCCCTCTTTCTCCTCCATAGTACCTCCCCCACACCCACACCATCACAACCAGGCCCCCTCTTAGCTCCCCAGATGCCCCCCACACCTCTATCATCAGCCACTCCCCTCTTCAACACAGCACTCCCTCCTCTCTCTGCCAGCCCCCAAGTCTTAACACATCGCTCCCATGCCTCACTCCAGCACCTCTACTTCTCAGCACGGGCTGCCAGGATGACCTTCAACCCCAGCCTCTCCCACAGATGGTCGCATGCCCTGCTTCCATTGCTGTAAGCCGCTTGCTCCCCCCAACCCCCTCCCTGTCCTCCTGCCCTGGTCCCTGGTCCCTGCCTCCCCCCACATTCTCCTGCTTTGCCAGGCCCCTGGCCCAGTCTG